GCAAACAACAACAACAACAACAACAAATTTGGTTTGAGTAAATTTCTACTTGTATTACTGTCTTTTGTAAATAGCAAATAACATGGGACTTGGAGCTGTGACTTCCTTGTGACCCTTGGGCTTTCTGATGCTTTGGCTTCCTTATCAGTGAATTGCGCATATCTATCACACTAGACTTGTGATGCTTAAATTATATCATGAGTATTAAATGAATGTTGTTCAGTGGCATATAAATATTAATGATTATCATCAATAACATGCTTTTCCAGAAACATCATTGTTAGACAATTCTTCATTCCTGGTAGAAGATTCATAAGGCAATTATTTTTATCTTAATATTTTGTAATTTCAATGTTCTCTTTTATCGATATGAAGACACATTTTTTTATATTTAACATATCCAAAATCGATAGGCATCTTATATTTGCTTTTGGTGAGATGCAGGCATAGCATACTTATTGTTGTTGTGTTTTGCCATTGAGTCGGCCCCGACTCCTAGCGACCCCTCCTTGGGTTTCCGAGGCAGTATCACTACGGAAGTAGGATTGCCCAACCTTCCTTCCGAGGAGTGGCTGATGGGTTTGAACCGCCAGCCATCTGGTTAGCAGTCAAGTGCCTTAGCCACTATGCTACCAGATCTCCCAATGCTTATAATCACATGTAAATGTTCATCAACATTTGAAGAATGGATATCAGACCTTGGAAGAAAACCCTAGGGCTAATAATGGTTAAGAAATACTACATCATGAATGTTCTTAACAGAGAATGGTATTATGTTAAAAAACCAAACAAACATAGACCTTGAGCCTCTGAATTGAAAAGTAAATCAGAAGTGTTGGACTCTGAATGTGAAAAAGTTTTGGGAGCCCCTCAGCCAATTTATTTTGCTTATATTTTTCTTTTTATGTGTACAGGTACAAAGGTAATACATGATTTTTTTTGGAAAATGTGTAAATAATAATGTCTCTTCAATAAGTATAAAGGTACCAAGTGATAGAGAACCACGCCATAGTTAAATTGGCATTTTTTTCTTTTCTTAGAAGATAATGGCCTATTTTATACATGAGATAATGGTGTATTTTTATAAGATTGCATCTTAGCTTCAATGAAACACTGTTATACTCAAGAAAACTTGAATTAATTTTCACAGCTATTACTCATTCTTTCCATTAATGCCTTCCATTAAAATTTGATTTAAACAGTTGAATCAATGAAAGTACAATAATCAATCCTAAGTGCAAAGCCTTTGACATAAAGCAATGATCAAAAAGCATATGCCACTCCACAGAAATGGAATATTAAACTAAAGCTGTGCTCTGACTGATCTGGCCTTTGATTTTATCAGGTCCCCTGGTGATATCAGTTTGGTCACTGATCTTTCTATGTAAAACATGATTTCTGGCCTATTCTGTTCAAATAATATTTTTCTAGAGTGCTAACTATATACCAGGCACTGAATTAGGCACTGGGAGAAGCATGGCCCTTGCCTTCTTGGTGTTTAGCATCTACTAGGGAAGCCTGACAGTAACTGGTTGTTAGAAGGTGCTGTGGAGTCAGCTCTGACTCATAGCAGCCCTATCTATGTACAACAGAACAAAACACTGCCCAACCATGCGCCATCCTCACAGTCCTTGCTATGTTGTTAACTAAGTTATACAAATAATTTTGAATTGTTGTAAGTACTGTAAAACCCAATGCCATAGAATCAATTCTGACTCATAGGCTTTTCAAGGCTGTAAATCTTTATGGAAGCAGACTGCCTCATCTTTCTCCTGGTGGAGCAGCTGGTGGGTTTCAGCCACCAACTTTCCGGTTAGCAGTCAAATGCTTTAACCACTATGCCACCAGAGCGCCTTATAAAAACTGTTAAGGAGGACAGAATATTAAAACCAGTATTTCTTTATGAAAAGAGTATAATCTATTATAAAAGTCAATAAAAAAAAATGTAATGATTGTATTAAACAACTTGATTTGGAGGTGGCTCCAATTTATAGCAACTCCATGTACATCAGAGTAGAACTGCGGTCCACAGGGTTTTCAGTGGCTGGTTTTTCAGAGGTAGATCACCGTCTCTTTCTTCTGAACCTCCAACCTTTTGGTTTGCAACTGAGCATGCTAACCATTTGCGCACCCCAGGAACTCCACTGATTGCATACCTACTGCCATCCAGCCAATTCTGACTCACAGAGACCCTAAAGGACAAAAAACTGCCCCATAGGTTTTGCAAGGCTGTAAATCTTTACCCAAGCAGACTGTCTTATCCTTCTCCCCTGGGGTGGATGGTAGGTTCCAACCACCAACTTTCTGGGTTAGTAGCTGAATACTTTAACCACAGTGCAACGAGACTGTATTATCTATAAAAGGTGAGGTATACATTATCTCCGGCATGACTTGAATAATACAGAGGAAAGACTAATGTGATGATGGGGGGAGAGGAGGAGAATATTCTAGAAAAACGGAAGAAGTACAAATAACCAGTACATTATCTGTCTGTATACTAGGGGCCACAGACCTAACATGAATGGTAAATGAATAGGATCTGAATTCCTGAACCTAAATTAAGTAATTTCACAAGTTTTCTTTCTGAACTCAGTTTCTCTATCACTAATAGTAACTACTATATTGAAGAACATGTAAGATACACAGACATGTTTTAGAAACAGATAAGTATTATGCCAAAATAATAAAAAAATCATCAAAAAAGACAAGAATGGCAAAGTTACAGTATGATGTTTAGTTACATAAAATTAAAAATGGAGAAGTGAGTTATCATCATTGTTGATATGGATATCATTAGATTAACTTGCACTATACATATGAAAGGAGCTCTGGTGGCATAGAGCCTAAGGCATTTGACTGCTAACCAGAAGGCTGGGGGTTCAAACCCACCAACCACTGTTTGGAAGGTTGGCTGGGCAATCTACTTCTGTAGTTTGGTTTATACATATGATTGGGAGCTCTGGTGGCACAGTGCCTAAGGCATTTGACTGCTACCCAGGAGGCTGGTGGTTCAAACCCACCAGCTGCTCTACGGAAGCAAGACCGGGCAATCTACTTCCATAAAGATATACCGCCTCAGAAACCCAATGGAAGTCGCCATGAGTAGGAACGGCAGTGGGTGTGGTTTGGAATACAAAAGGAAGGTTGGGCAATCTACTTCCGTAGTGATATTGCCTTGGCAACCCAAGGAGGGTCACTATGAGTCAGCACATAACAACAACACAACTTTTTATATACATGCTTTATCAGCCTTGATAGAGCTTACATGCCTTGTCAGATCATAAATTCCTTGGGGATGGTGAGTAGGTATTATAGATATATAGAACCTAACACAGTCCTTCAGTAAATGTTATTGTTATGTGCCCTGGAGTCAGACCCAAGTCATAGTGACCCCTTCTTGGGTTTCCGAGGCAGAATCACTAAGGAAGTAGATTGCCCAACCTTCCTTCCGGGGACTGGTTGGTGGGTTTGAACTGCCAGCCTTCTGGTTATCAGTCAAGTGCCTTAGGCACTATGCTACTAGAGCTCCTCAGTAAATATTAGCTGAATTAATTGATATATCAAGTCAGTTAATTCATTTTACAGCCTTTTGAGGATTCTTGTATTTGTGTTCAAAATTTCATCTACTTGCAAATGATTCGATGGGCCTAATGACAAGAGGAAATTATAGACTATAGATAAAAACAGAATAGAATCCATCTTAAGGAGGGCAGAAATAATCAGCAGGACTACTACTGCTGGCCTGTGATTGACATTCCCTGACAGTCAAAGGCAACGGCAACCAGCAGCACTACCACAAAATTAGGATTTACATTTGTCTGCAGAGATAAACTCTTCCTAGAACCAAAACCAGCAGAGCACTTTGAACACGTGGACTTTCATATAAGCGTCACCTACATTCTACATAGAACAACTGTAAACAGAAACATCAATATGGCTCTTATAAAGCCTGAGGAAAACAACTCAGCAAAATCAGAAAACCAAACTCACTACCGTGGAGTCGATTCGGACTCATAGCGACCCTATATGGAAGGGGAGAACTGCACCACAAGGTCTCCAAAGCTGTAAATCTTTACGCAAGCTGTCTCATCGTTCTCCCGCAGAACAGCTGGTGGGTTCGAACCGCCGACCTTTCTGTTAGCAGCCGAATGCTTTAACTACCCCAAGCAAAGGCAGAGTAAATCTGAAGGTCTGCTGAAATTATGTACTTGTTCACCACTGCTATCTCAGCAATAGGAACCTTTTTCTTCCTAAGGTTTGGGCTCAGCCTTGCCAGTCTTAAAACAGAACCTGGCTCATTTTATCGTCACAATAAAAGGTCAGCAAAAGTCCAGCTACGCGCTGGCAGCCTTGAATACAGAGTCTTAGCCGGCCTATGAAGGATGGCTTCAGGATGGGCAGATGCTACGGATTGGAAGTGCTCCGGCGGGAGGCAGCATCTTTGGCTGAAGGGGCTCGGGGCCAACTTAGGGCAGCCGCGTTGCACAACTCCGGGGGACACTATTCACACCTTAGTCTTTCAGAATGGCTGTCCCCTCCCAATTGCGGAATTCTGTCCCCAAAAAGCAAGGCTTGGCAAAGACCACTGAGGCCAAAAATCCCCTTATCTGTGGGCCGTAGGTGGTAACCCCAGTTCTAGGGAATAAGGCGCTACCATCATACCCCTTCCCTCAGACCCCAGAGCTCACCCATCAGCAACTGCAGTCTCCGAAATCTCCACCCCAAGTCTTCCTGCCTCCAGAGGACGGATTGCGATTGGCTTACACCACTGTCCCTTTAGTTCTTCCAGAAATGTGAGTGGCGTAACTGTCTCGCTCTTGCCCTTGATCCCTCCCTTCGTTCACCTCTGAAGCTCCTCCCCACGTAGCGTCACACGTTGCCGCAGAGCGCAGAGGTGGGTCTCTTGGTCCCCCGCCCTCATCCACTTTCTCCGAGAGGAGCTGCGGGGTTGAGCGCAGGAAAGTGAGGATTGTTGAAAGACAACGTGCCCATTGACGTAGCGCTACGACCCGCCCCTCCGCACGCACGCCGAGAAGAAGGGGGTGGGGTCACGTTAGCGTCCGCGCCATCTCAGCCCGGAGGTGGAGGCTAGGTCCATTTTCAGTGTATGGTTTATCCTGCCAAGCGGTTGTGCTTGGTGCCAGCAATGGAGGGCGTGCGCTGGGCCTTTTCTTGCGGCACATGGCTGCCGAGCCGAGCCGAGTGGCTGCTGGCAGTACGATCGATCCAGCCCGAGGAGAAGGAGCGCATTGGCCAGTTCGTGTTTGCCCGAGACGCTAAGGCAGCCATGGTACTACAGGTCTTTGGTATTTACAGCGGAGGAAGCAGATGCTGAGGGAGGTGGGACGGGCTGCGGAGACCCACCTTTCTGCACTAGGGTCGATGCCTGTGCTCTAGCCCACAGTGGCAGGCGCGGGGGCGAGAGGTGGTCGGATCCCACGTATATCCAGTATGTGCACGGCCTGGTCTTGACAATCTTTGTAACAGCCCCGGAGGCCTCAATTGCTGAAAGTATTAGCCCCTTCCCCGTTGTAATTGACCGTATTACACCATAACATAGGTGTAGTGAAGGCCTACGAAATAGCTTTTTTTCCGTAATAATATTTTTATGTTTTCATTTGTTAAATGTTATCAAATACTGTTTTTCTCTTTGCTTGGCCGTATAGCACATGCTTAATCGGCCTATTAAATTTCCCAACACTCCTGTGACACCGTGCACGTGGTAGGCCTTAGAAAATATTGACAATATTAATTAGTGTAGCCTTGCACTCTGGAACTGGAAGAGGCCTAAGCTAGCCTCCGTTTACCAATGAAACTGAAGCCCAGGGAGGATGCACTCCCAAGCTTACCTTCCTGACTAGGTAGTTTGGGAACATTATTTTAAATAGAATCACTTTTAAAGTTTGTACTCTCTAGTAACAATGGGAAAGATTTATTACAAAACAATACTTCTAGTACGTAGAGGTTTGAAATAATCCTTAATTACCATAGCTTCAAAGACAACATTTCTTGAAAATGTCTCTTTTTCAAAACATCAGTATGTTTGAAATGTGGGCTAATTGAGGATTTTTTAAAAACATATTGGTAAATGTTTTCTACACTTTTTGTTTTTAAAGGTAAGAAATTGAAAAATGAGAAAATTTCAAAGGTTTGTAATATTTAAAAGTCACTGTTAAAACTGAAGGAAAATAAAAGCAGTGTTATAAAATAAAAATACTGTTATAATTTGTCACCTTGCGCCCTTGAATTTTTTTTTTTTTGTATGTTTGTAGTCATTTACTTCTTAATGATGGTGGTGGGAGAGACTATATGGAGTTTAGATGAAACAGGTCATGAATAGCCAGTAGTTGAAGCTGCGTGATTGGTTTATAGGATCTAGAATACTCATATATGCACAAAGGTAAAGGTACAACAGGGCGGTTTATGGTGGATTGGTTCTATAATACCAAGTCTAGAATCAGTCTAAATATACAATAATAGGGTAATAAGCAAGTTATGGAACATTGATACTGTGAAATAAGTTACTGTTAAAAAGAATGAGCAGAGCAGAGTGATATATACAGACGTGTGATGATGTCCAGTATGTGGCGGAATGGTTGATGTAATATGATCTAACTTATATATATAGCAGAAACATATAAATGCACATTTAAATACTTTGAAAAGAACTAGAAGAATCCCTACTAACTTGATAACATCCTGTTAGCAGGGAGGGAATTGCTAAGGAGAGACTTTAATTTTTTCTTCTATGTAATTAAGCATTGCCTAAATCTTAGCAATATAGTACATTCATTTGATAATTATGCAATTTTCAAAACTTTTAAAGATCAATTATTTTAGTTACCACAAAAATATAGTTTGTATCATGTAGGCCATGTTCCTATGTGGTACAAAACAAAATACAATTGTATCATATCAAATCTCTAGTGCACATTGATAAGATACCTAATGTTTCATATGCTTAACAGGCCGGTCGTCTGATGATAAGAAAATTGGTTGCAGAGAAATTGAATATCCCTTGGAATAATATTCGTCTGCAGAGAACAGCAAAAGGAAAACCAGTTCTTGCAAAGGACTCATTGAATCCTTATCCCAATTTCAATTTTAACATCTCTCATCAAGGGGACTATGCAGTACTTGCTTCTGAACCTGAGCTGCAAGTTGGAATTGATATAATGAAGACTAGCTTTCCAGGTAATGTCACATTCTTTCAGCACAGAGATTGTAAGTGTCTTAATATCTCAGTTCTGAACTTAAAACATCAAGTAATCTCAGGCCAGGATGTATATAATTGATACTTACGAAAAACGTGCTCAATTCCCCAAGGTCATATATCTGGGTATGCGTATTTCTAAAAAGGGTGTATTTTTTTTGAATATTATCAGACTTCTATGTAAATGATAGATTTTCCATTATGTGAAAGTGTATATAATGGATTGCTTAGAGAAGTGGTGAAAATATAAAGATTTTCTTTTTGAATAATACCTCAGTTTATTATGTAAGATTACATTCAAAACCATTTTCAAAGATTCTTAATTTTGTAAATAACAGTTTTTTAGTAGCTTAGTGTAAAGATATATTTAAGTAGTAGAAAACACATCAACTTGAATGCAATAGAAGGTCAGTATCGAATAGCCCATTGTTGAAAAGCAGTAATTATGCTGTAAGAATTTTATTTCACTTCTTTAAATTGTTAACTTAAAAAAGGAATCCCAGAAGTAAGGTATATTACAGTCCTTAGGTAAAGATAGTGTGTCTTTGTGCTTTATCCAAATATAGCTCTTTGTGTAGACCATTTACATAAGTAAAAATGAAAAAATGCACTTATTAAAATATTAAGTTGATTTATTACTTTAGATATTTGTAACTCATAGTTTTAGAAGCCACTAACATTGGGGGTTCAGTAGGACAATTTTACCTGAACACAGAATTTCTTAACTATTCTATCAAGATTACTACCGTCATCACTTTTAGTGTGCATCTACTGTGTGCAAGTAAAGCTTTGTATATATTCTCTGATTTGTATATCCCTACCACCCTTGTTGTTGTGTGCTGTTGAGTCGGACCCGACTCATAGCGATCCCTCCTTGGGTTTCCGAGGCAGTTTCACTATGGAAGTAGATTGCCCCATCTTCCTTCCGAGGAGTGGCTGGTAGGTTTGAACCGTCAGCCTTCTGGTTAGCAGTCAAGTACCTTAGCCACTATGCTACCAGAGCTCCCAACCACCCTTAGATGACTATAATTTTTATCAGAGGATAAGTAAAAGGCTAAGAAGAAAGCTATTAGAATAACCCGTATCACCCTGATTTCATAGTGCAACTTTCTGATCTCCATGCTACCTCTGCCACAGGATCTTCACTTAGGGGGTTCCCTCTGCCTGGAAGGCCTTCATTAACTTTATGTTCCAGCCACGTTTCTGCATATTATTGCTAGTTGCCCTCCACTTGATGCTGACTCATGAGACTTCATGTTACCGAGCAGAACTGTGCTCCATAGGGTTTTCATTGGGTGTAATCTTAATTGAAGCACATTGCCATGCCTGCCTTCTGCGTACTGCTAAGTGGATTTGAACTGCCAACCTTTAGGTTAGCAGTTGAGCGCCAGCCATAATGTTTACTAAGTGTCAAATGAGTGAACAAACCTGTACTGCTAACATAGGCTTCAGAGTTTGTGAATTTTTGCTCACTTTTGGTTTCATTGTCTTTACCTTGCATTTTCCCACCAGCTACATTTTTCTTTGACCTGTTCATAAACCTTTCTTTTACAACTGTATTCTGCACTTTGCTAAGTAGAAGGCCCTAGGAGTGATTTTGGAAACACTATAACAGACATTCATGATCTAGAGTCCCTGAATAAGCTTTAAGGGATTTTTTTTGTTTTGTTTCGACCTGAAATTGTTTGCTACATTTTGTATGAACATGCACAGGGGCATTTTCCTGCGGAGAGGATTTGGTTTTCGTTAAGTGTTGTAGAGGGATGAGCCTAAAAGAATCACTGCTGTAAAGGATTTAGGGTAGACATGGGAATGAGCCCATGTTTTTATAGCTTTCTATTGGCCTTACGTAAACTTTGCTTTCTTAAAACCAGAAATTACTGGAGAGGCCATTACTTCTTAGAATGTGGTCAGTATAACTACAAAATAGTGGTTGGCCCAATAGAATGATACCTGCCTGGAAATGACACCTTTGAGAAACAGATTTTTTCTTTCTTTCTTTCTTTATTTATTTAAGATACATTTTATTGAAATACAATTTGTGGTGTTGTTGTTAAGTGCCGTCGAGTCATTTCAGACTCATAGCGACCCCATGCACAGCAGAACGAAACACTGCCCGATCCCGCGCCAGCCCCACAAT